TTATCAATAACTTCAGTATAACTAACAAAAATAATCCAAATATCGAAAAAGTTCACAGGGCAACTTTATTGCAGTTCGTATTTGAGACAAACGTCATTCTAGCCAGGTGTCATATTAGTTTGAACGAGTAGTAACTTTTTATTCAAAACCGTTTAACAATTACATATTAACAGTTAACACGATTCTCATGCGAACTAGTTTAAAAATCGAATAGCATTCAAAATTCACCCCCACCGATTAGCGATTAAAAAACCGACAAACAATAAAATAGAGCCATTTAAATTGAAATAACGGCGGCAGCCATCTTGTGTCGCGTGGCGCGCGCGCGTTCTGTCTTTGGTTGTTCGAACGTTTTGAACATTTGAATTTGAAAGATTATGATTGTTCAATGTGAGTTGACAGATTATTTGGTTATGTGGTTATAAAAACAAGGATTTCAGACTTGATACCAAGGATTTGATACTAAGCTTTTTCTCATAATGTTTTTATTAAAAAAAATTAAAGCATTAACATCTTTGAATGACTAAGTATTATCCATATTAAGAACTGTATAAGGAACAATACACTTTCACTTTCAGACGGCAGTCGTGCAAAAAAAAAAACCGTATGTGCTACAACGTAGCAAGGGACATACGTAGTGCGCTACATTGTAGCAGAGTAAGGCAAAGACAAGAACTCCTATAAAATAGAAGTAATAGAAGAAACAAATATATGGTACCACTTGAACGTGAAAGATGCCTGCGATTTTATCTGCATTAGTTTTATCAAATGCTTCTATTTTATCAAATATAAAAAATACGGCTTGAAAATTTATGGAATCCTCATTGAAACATCGCCATTAAATTTTATTCCAAGAAAATATTAAACTAGACAAATAACACCAGCACAGAGATACAGTATATTCGTAGTAAATGCTTTCAATTAATTAATGAACTTTGATTTCTAAAACATGGATAGATATTTTATTTTAAGCTAAGATTTATATTTTTTAATTCCATAGAGGCTAAAGTTTTAAGTTTATTATGTTGGCGACTAATTTCATATCAGTTGTCATTTGCACATTCGTTAATCCTTACGCGTTCATTTATAGTTCAATTAAATCTATGTGTAGCACGTGTCACAAAGAGAAATCCCCGGGACCCTATTTTTAAATTGGCTAAGTGCTAATAAATTGCGGCCATGGTTGTTTAAATATTCAGATAATATATGTGGTTATGCTGTCTGCTTAAGATATAAATAGAAAACTTAATTTATATAGAAACTGTTTCACATCACAGAATATATATTTTGTACGAGTCTTATAAACATACAATTTTAAGATTCAATACTCAATGGCGTTGTGGTCTCTGATTTTTGACAATTGGTTGGAAAGACACCATTCTTTAAAGAAGTTTTTTATTTGTCATGTTTTTGCAATTTGTTCCTTCTTTTTTTTTTGGTGTTCTTTTTTACTTTTGCGTTATTGTTCGGTTCCTCTATTTCCTATTTACATACATATTTGTTGTAATTTAATTACTTACTAGTTTTTATACTTCGTATTTTAAATTCATCATAAACAACCCATTCCTACAAGCTATCACTGATCCTAAGTATAAGCAATTTTCTTAATGGTTGGTAATAGGATGGGTGACCAAAATTTAATTATATAGAGTAACTCTTTGCTTCGTTAGGCTTTGCATTATATTAATTTAATTTAGTTTACAAATAAACGACAATATGTGAAGTTTTTGTTTATTTACAAAGTGCTTGCGATTTCTAGCACTACAATCGTAAAGTTCGAAATTTAGATGACTAGGCTTACGACTATTGATTGAACATCCCACACGCCCCTTTGTGTTGGTAACAGACAAAGCCTTATCTTAGGCACAAGTCGAGATCAGACTACATCGTTCTACCTACGAGCTATACGTGAATGGACCTTAAACGACGGTTTATGCAATATGCACACTTATTGATATATGATATTTTCAAGTATCCAACAATCTATAATTTCTCAGTGTTCTAAACAAAAAAAAATAAAAATAAATTATATATTTAGAGTATCTACACATAAAGTCAGATAGGGAAATATTTGTGTCAATTCTGATATACTAAACTGAAAATTATACTAAACCAAATATTTATTGCTTTAAATTGGGTTTGTTTGAACTCATGTTCATATATATTCAAAGTAATATAGCTTATACACTTGTATGTAAAAAAAATATTAAGTAAGTTTATTCTGTTCTCTTAGTTATTTTTACAATTGAAAACGGAATTGTACCGGACTAAATCTAAATTTGGTCAAGTCTCTATAACAGAATTGCTGCCAATATCGAACCTTATAAAAAAATTTACCACATTAATATGTTATGCTACTTTCAATGTCTCAGATAGATTATCCCATAATGCTTGGAATCTGGGCAATCTATGTGATATCTTCTAATATTTATTTATGGTTATATTTTTTATATTATTTTTCATGCCACACATGATGAACCACTTTTCGTGTCACTTCATTTCCTAAGTAGTGAATATGACATCGTACAAAGTTAGACAATATACGTTAATCATCATTTCAAATTCGTATCTATTATGCATCCGTCAACATCTAATATCCCAATTACCATATCGCTGATACTATGTCACTGCTGTGACGTGCTCCTTTCTTCGATGACGTCATCAAAGCATTCAATTTGCGAGATAATAGTTCGAATTTCCGACGTTTCGACATTCCGATGCCCATGTTCGGACGTTCCTGTCCGTTGGAACAACGCCGGGACGCTTGGATGGTTGTCTGTTGTTGCTGACGTTTAGATGATGGCTGGAACGCACTGATTGTGGCTATTAGGAGCTTGTGTGTCTATTGTGTATCATAGCCTAGGTTAATAGATTTATATATTTATCGATGCTAATGTTATTAGAGGGTAGATAATTGTTTTGTTGAACAATTGCTACTAAAGGGTAATTTATTATTAACGTTGAAAGTGTTTCGAAAACATGAAACACGAGCTAAATAGTCACAAAATTCCAGATACACTTGAAATTTGTCACTATTTAAGATATTATAAAGTTAAAATCCATTAATTATGAACATATTCCTATCAGGTGTGCAAGATAAGATTCGAACTCTAACCTCGCCAGCTTTAACCAATCGAGCTTGCGACTATCTCTCTGGTCGGGTCTCAAATGAACTTACCAAGGCCTAACTCTCCTTGTAATATAAATATAAATTTTTGTTATGATATATTTTAAAGTCCTGGTTATAAAAAAGAAGTTCTATTTAGTCCGTCAGTTATATAACAAAAATATTAAATACGATATTTTTTTTTTACTTCATTTTAACAAGAAATAGCTTAATAACAGACATTAAAATCGCTACGTCAGAATATTGTAGAAAATGTACAAAAGCGTGACATTTTAGTTCAATATATCGCCGTAATTTAATGACTACGAAAAAAATTAAAAATAAGTGTTTATTATTTTTTAACAATATACCTGACGGACAAAGAAACAAATATTAGTCATCCGTATTGTAGAATATAAAGTTGAATGGTTGTTGATTTCATAAATAAAATTAGTGTTAATAGAAGAAGAAAATATTCATGTGGATTTTTATAAGCATTTTTCTATTTAATTCTTTATTTATGAATATTATGAATAATATAATATATATAATAGAATATTTTTCAGTATAGCATTGAGAACGCGAAATTGATCAAATAGGTATAATAATCATTAACTTTAATGTTCTGTTTAAAAAATAACACACGAATCGTCTGTGATTCAATTAAAATTTATTTCTGTACTGTAATAATAAAAAAACTTAGGAACATCCCTTAGGAACGTTTTTTAGAGTAATGAGAATTTACAAAATTTCACGATGTAAAAAAACATAATTTGAGGTAATTATGTGGGGTAAAAATTCTTAAATTTTACGCGTGTCACTTTTTACATAGCTTTTGCAGCGCTTTCAATTATCGTAATATATTGCGACTCGTGTAATGAATCAAAAACTGTTTTCTATCTGATTGTTAACTACATTGAAACCAGGAGAGTCTTTTGGCTTTACATCCCCTAGTCATCATTCGTTTAGTGATTCAAGCAGTTTAAATTTCGATTTGTTTGATCTTCAAAATGTTTTTAACTCACATATAATTTTAAACAATTTTAATAGGAAGTAATTAAATAGGAAAATAATGCCACTGTATTAATAGTAATACGATTTATTGAGCGTATGATATTTTATAATATTGTACAATTTATAACTATAATCTCTTAGATCAATGATTAAGCATCATCCATTTATTACTAATAATTATTTTTAATAATTATATTTACATTTCTTTTAATTTACTATTGAACACTATTACATTTATCTAAATAAGAACTAAAAGTTTATTTAAAATCCATTGATTAAAATAAAAAAAGTAGTACCTCATTGTCTTTTATAAATATCGTATAGTAAAGAACATAAGCACAATTTCTTTACACATTTTAAATTACTAACTACTAAGTAGATAATAGTTAATTATTACGTATACAGGTATTTAATTTAAAGCGCACTATAAGCTACGTTCGTTTTATATACAAAATTACTGATTTGGAACGATGACATCTTATTCATCTAATTTAAAGATTATACAATATTTTCCCTTGAAAAATCAGGAACGATTCTTAATATTACCTAGCCAAAAATATCTGTAATATCTATCTTTATTATGTCATGATATTGTATGCATAAATTACATTTTCGACAGATATTTTAAATTATGTTAAACTACTCAAGTAAAACCTACTTATTTTTACTTTTTAAACACATAAATGCTTTTTTCTTAAGCAATGACTTACTTTTGAACAATTTCCTTAGAATTCAACATCAATCTTGCTAACTGAAGACACGATAATAAAACTTTATTTACAAAGCCACATCGCGGCGACGATATTTGGAACTTCCTCGAATTTGTCGGTCATTCTGGAGTTTGCCATTACGGTTACAATACCGTCCATTTCAGATACCCCTAATCTGAAAAGCCTTCATTATTAGTGTTGTCAGATGTGGGGGAAGTCCCAGGAGACGGAACCTGTAGTTGTCTTCCATACATCAGGTCTGTTGGTGGCATAAAAGGGGATAGATACTCTGGAGGAGGTCTGATCACTGTAGGCAAGTAACCCGTTCCACTGTAAGGCGGAGTAAGAAATCTTCTTGATGGGGAGAACTTAAAACTTTGGTTAGATAAAGGAGAAAAAGCCGATTTAGACTGATAGCTTTGTAAATAGGGGGGAGATTCTTGGGTGATGGTGTAAGGAGTACTGTTGGTGTCAGAACCATTTAGCATCATATCCATAGCAGCTACTACGTCCCCTTTGCATCTCGCTAGTATCGTTTCAATATCTTGTCGGCTGCGTCGTGGAAAGACTTTAATGAGTACGTCTACTGGAGACTTTTGATAAGAAGATTCTTCTGGCTGTTGTTCCGGTACTGGATCTGGTTTCCTATCACGCCTGAACATTTTGTATTTGAAATCAGGGTTATCCCATTTTTCTTCTTCTTCTTTCTTTACTGGTATGTCGTCTTGCCTTTGCTCTTTCATTGACAAGTTTTCTGGTGTGAGAGAAGTCTCGGAATGATCTTCTAGTTCTTCTTCTACGTTCAACTCGTGGTCAGAGGGCGAGCAAGGGGGTGGGGTGGTGAGAGGTGGGGTCTGTACGGGGGTTTTTGACTCTTGTTGTTGGTCTGCTGAAGGTGATGGACTGGAGCACACTTCCGTGATGCGAGCACGTTTCTGAACTGTTGACAAGAGAAACAAATAGGTTAGTTATCTTAGTTTTTATTCACGGTGAAATCATTACAAAAAATGTTAATAAATTTTGAAATATTTGGTCGTTATTTTTAAATGGCAGATTACATAGAATTATTTATAATTAATATTTCGTTTCATAAGTATTACTTTATACTTATTACAGTCAAACATTAAGTTTTAACTTTAAATACTGTGATTATAAGAATTGCTTTGTTAAATTCATTGTTATTTTAAAATAATACAAGAAGTTTCACCGAAACCAAAACATCAAAACGGACTACGAAAAGACACAATGCAGTGAGCAAGCTCTTACGAGTACACTCGCGCGCATAAGTCATTGTGTCGCGCAATTAGAAGGCGAGTCGCTTTCATTCGCGTGTGCGAATTTAATGGGCAAAGTTATTGTTTTTTGAGGCTAAGAGTACAAGGGGTGGGGGCGACTGCATTAGTTTGACGGGGATATTCGATTACTGTTCGATCGTATGCAGTTAGACGCGTACTAAATTGTAAAACCTACATAAAATTATATAATATTGTAACTGGATGTTTGATATATTATTGTAACTGGGTATTTGATCTGTTTCAGATCTACAATTGTTTATACCCACCAATTTACATGCATGGTGAGTTATGTTTCGTTTTCTCTTATGTCTTTCTCTCCATGGAAAAACCTGTGTAATAGCAATGAGAATAATTAATAGGGTTCTGATAAATTATGAATGTAAAATCGCAATTTAACATCGGTTTCGTTGTTATGGTGATTATAGTTTTTAGTAGCACGTATGTCAAAATTATTACCTTTCAACTGGTTTTGTATACATAAATAACATCCAAATAACCTGTAATTAAAAATGAGAAAATTTCATCATATTTCTAAGGGTACTCTCATAGTCACAACGTGAAATTAGTGAGTCACTTTGTATTTTGACTTAGTTAAATTTTACAACTACATATTAAGTATAATAATTTGCGAGCAATTTAGGCAGCATTGGCTTTACTCCCCTTAACGCCCTCCTCAAGCATAATAAATACTATCTTATCTTTTAAAAAAGTAACTAACAGTTATTAAAAGCGTAATAAATTTAAAAAAATACGAAATTTTTATTATCATTCGAATAAAGCAAAAATCTTAAGAAAAATCTATCAAACCGATTACTCGCGCAGACATTGCTCACAAGTATAATTCAATGAGCACAAACATCAATGCTAAGTGTTCCATAAAAAGCCACAAAAGAAAAAAAGAAAAGGAAAAATGTACCTCCTTACAAACGTTCCTTTTTATAAGGAAGCATAAAAGCTACGCCTCCACGATATTGAACAAAAAACTCATTAAAAGAATACGGCATTTTTATTTATACAATACAAAACACACTTTTCATTTATAAAATTACAATAAAGAAAAATAATACTGGCCATTTTGAATCTCATAATGATAGAGGGAGATGGAAATAGTATTTTTATTTGAATTGAAAAGGGATGCTTTTGTTAATGGCATTAATAGAGACATCTGCTTGTAAACGATGCTATATGTATTTAGTTTTCGTTTGTTTATTATTATAAGTATTATTAGTTTTGTATCGTGATTGCGGAATGGGGCATTCGAAATGAATATTCTTAATCTTCCTGTGCGCTACCCTTTATTTAGTTAAAGTTTATATTTGAATTGCTATTTATGTTTAATTCTTTTGATATGTATTATTATATAATAACAGAATGCACAATGTTTGTCTGTTTGTTTGTTACATTTTACACCTAAATTTCAGAATCTATTTTGATTTAGAGATAGATCAGATTTTGGTGAACTAAAATGGAAATAAAATTGGAATTTGGATTATTATGACTTTATTCCCATATTACATATCCCAGATTTTATGTTTCTATATTAAAATTGATTCAGTGCCTTTATTACGTACAGACACAGAGATATTATATTTTTATGTAGAAAAGGAGAGAGAAGCATAAAAAATCCTTGCAATACTTTCAGTTACATTATCATAAAACAGTCGTTTGAAAACAAAGTCACAAAGTCGCTAGCAACATTTTGAAGCTTTTGATGTAATGTTGTTATATATTTATTTTTGGCAATGACGAACTTCCACACAAACTTTTGCGTAATACTCGAAGCATATACTGGCATATATGATATGAGAACAAAAGCGGATCACAATTGAAAAACTACCACAAATATAAACTATCCGGCATACAATGCGTTTCATCTGTTTACGGCACAATGTAGTGTTGAAACACAGTGTAATGTGGCGCTATAAATCCGACGGCACAATGGCGCTGGCGGCGGCCCAGCGTGTTCGCATTGTCAACTGATTTACAGCGACGATGGTGCGGACGTGACCGGGACAAGCTTAATGTTATTAATTAATGCGTAACACTTTTGTTCGGAAGTGTAATTTTTAATAAAATTAAATCAAAACATCACATTGTTCCGGCTCTAAGTAACTAAAGCCCTTATGTTACTGAAAATGGAGACATCTGAGATATTATAGAGGAGTTCCTTTTTTATGGGATTATGAAATTTTGAGATTTTGCATTCACAATATTATGAGTATATTGTGAAATATCGCTAAAGAATTATAGAGGAGTTCCTTTTTTATGGGATTATGAAATTTTGAGATTTTGCATTCACAATATTATGAGTATATTGTGAAATATCGCTAAAGAAAAATGCATAAAATTCGCAAATCCTAGGTATCATCCCGTCTCGGGGTACTGTCCCATGATATTTAATTTTTCGGCAAAATATATAAAAAAAAGCATTTCAACCAACTTTTGAAGTCAGGCAGGGCTTTGTGTTGTTTATTAATATTGCTCTGCTTCAACATAAGTATTAAGTACTGGTAACATTAATGATACATTAATTATTCCCTTTTAGAAGTCACTTTTATTTTAACAATTTTTATAGAATGTTCTTCACAACTATGATGTAGATTTTTCTTTGTCACAAATGGCTTTAGTGAATTTATGTTGCTTTAAGAATTGCTTAATCGATATGGAATTCGTCTAGGAGGTTTCGGTATCTTGGTCTAAAAGTTATTGCAAGTATATCTCTAAATAATGTGTTTATGATGCTGTGAAATACCATGAATTCCATAATAAAAAACAAACTCATATTTTTATTCTATATATATAATGGAATTATTTAATTTAGCGCTGTCACCGCATTAGAGGTTCAACTAAATAAAACCTTTAAGACCTATTGAAGTATGTTTTATTCAATTAAAGCTTTAATGCTGTAACGGTGCTGTATTACTCACTGCGATTATCATTTACGATTTTTTTCAATAAATGTGAAAAACAAAATCCACCAAAGTCACGAAAGTTTACAAAAAATATCTTTCATAAAGCAAAACCGTCAAAAACAATTCATATTTGGAACGCAATTAAAAACTTTTTAATCGTAATAAACTGGCCAGTGACTTTCCGAAAATTAAAGTCCCATTCGCAACTACAGAAAATAAAATGAAAAACAAAAACAAACAGAAAATGACCGCTAATTAACCAACGAGCAGAAATTAGGACCCTCCGTGAATTCAGTTATTTTAACTTGATAAATTAAGCTTTCATTCGCTTGAACTGTTTTAAAGCAAACGACTGTTTTTTGTTTCACCAATATGGACGCTGCGTACCATTTAAAATAATTTTTGGATGCGGCATTTGCGAAAGGGTAGTTAAAAATTATTACAAAAGTATTATAAAAGTAAATAAAAACAAACGAACAATATCACACAGTAAAGCAATTTCTATTATTATTTTACATTGGAATTATTGAAGGTCGTCATACAACTTTTAAGTTTCTGATAAAAAAAAATTTGTGATGCATAAATAATATCTTTAGTGTTGTCGACTTCTTGTTTTGTAAGTTAAATTAATTGTGTTAGATAAATGAAACACTTATTGCCCCCCATCAAATTCGTAGATAAATTTTATTTTAATTATTAATTGATGAATTGTAAATCAAAATCTTTATAGATTGAGTGATTAGTAACTAGTGAAAATCACAATAAAGGCACATAAAATAACAATAAGTAACTATTTTAGATTTGACCATGATTTATGTTTTATTTTTTTTCCTTTTGTTTGCATATTTGATGATTTTAAGCCCATTTTTGGTAAATCAATAGTATTTTATATGTAACTAGGCTTTCATAGCTCTGTGTGTTTCGACCATTACTGCCTATAAAGTATAAAATAAAAAAGCTGGCGACAAATGCACACGCTCAAAGCAAAGAGTTGTATTTAAAAATATAAAAGAAACAAAACATAAACTATCACCATCCTTGTCGCACCAAAAGCGCGGGCAATTAGCTTACACTATGTCACTACTTTGTTAGTGTAGGACTGTTTGTATTTTTTTATCTAAATACACTTGTGCAACCATCAAAGACCACACATGTTACTAGTATATTTTCTTTTTTTTTCTAATATTTATTAAAATTATTAGATTCACTATGTATTTTTTTAAGTATTTGATAATTAATCTTAGATTTCTCGATAAGTTTTACTGAGGTAATTGTTTTACTACCCATTTCAGCCACTTGCCTAAAACTTATTTTTGTATGTATCCCCTTAAAACTTATTGTTAAGTGTTTCGATTTTATAGTATCCCCAATATCAATCTCCATTTCGATTTTCGATTAAAAAACTACGTAGAAAATTAACTTTTCACCGATCTGGGTGGATTAGGTAGATTTTGTCTTTTCATTATTTCATGAAATGATCACTTACATAAGATCTATTTAATGTAATGTTATCTGATAAAACTCATTATAAAAGGAATGATACTTCCAATTCGTTCGTAGGTTCCAAAATTAATAAATACTCCCCCGAACAGAAATATTTAACCCTCGATCTGTTCTCGAGTGATTACCGATCACCCTAACCCTGCAATTGTTCACGACACCTATTATTTAGTACTAACGACTTCCACGCTAAACTTAACTCTATTCTAATCACCCAAAGTTTTAAACTCCTTTGTACGATAGCATTTGGACTGAGTAACTTTGAATCGGCGGGTGGTAACAATGAAACCAATTGTTAGTCGCCTCTTTTATTGAAGTAGTTTATTTAAATTTGGATTCTGCTATTACAGATCAGAGTTCATAATTCAATATTGAATTTGGTACTGACGGGTACATTTGATTGAGGAATTAGTATTCTATTGCGATGCAATTATACGGTGGTCGATGTAGGGGTGGCACAAAGTATTGTACGATCCACTTAATTTAATATAATTTTTAGTTCGAGTGATTTTTTTTTCTAACAATGAGTAATTGTTATCTGCGACTTAATAATATGGTTTTTATAGTAAACAAATTCAATTATT